CAGAGATACTCCCTTGCTGTTTTAACCAAATCATTGATTTAGACCCCTGCCTACAAGATTTGCCACCTGAGAAGAAAATGATTCACTGATCCAACAGTCTCTCTCCAAAGTCATAAAATCTAATGAAATATTGCATTTGTCTACCAGAATAATGGTAAACTGTTAAAATCTCATGGAATTGGACATTCTTCAAAACTAGGTGAATTTCAGGCATTGTTCATATATACAGAGCACACTCTTAGATTGAATTATACTTTTAAAAATGTCCATGAGCCATTGCTAATGGCCTAGTTGCACGGGTCAGTTCATTAGACCACCGAGGACAAACCTATTAAATACATATACTTTTCTGAGACACTCCCTACCCAAGGAGATAGGTAGAACAACTTAGTAACAAACTCAATCCTTATTTTTCATATGTACATGTCCACAAGAAATAACTAAGTCTAAAGGAAAATATCTGAAATGAAAAAGCCAATCTAGAATGTATGACCATACTGTCTACTATGGACTTGGGGCCATCTTCAAATCTATACCACAGTGAAGGAATAAGATGTTTAATAATGAATTTATCTAGAAGACAGAGAAGCCACTGTTGCCCATCAAGCCTATTCTACTTGCCATTTAAATCACTCTCTTTAAAAAAAACCTCTGTAGCACTGTCAATCCAGCCTCTCCTTGTTGTTTACAAGTTATAGGCTGCCGTATCCTTTAAGAGTCTCTCTGCATTGGTTGAGCTCCACTGCACTTTGGAATTAAAGAGTGAAAGAAAATACTATTTCAAGATAATAATATATTCCCTTTATGTCAGTGGAATGGACAAAGCAGACTGTTCTTTTAAAAGATGGACATTGTCTTTGCATCATACTCTTCCGCAAACATCCTCTTTTAACCCTCCAGGGGACTTCTGAGGGAAAAATAGTAACTTTGGGGTCCCTGCTGAATTTATCATTGCATAAAAATAACAATCTCAACTCTAGGAAGGAATAACAGATCTGTTTTTCAGGTGTGAACATATCTGACCTCGGGAAATGGTTGGAGAATGGATATCAAGGGAGATAATGAATAAATTTCTCTCTTACCGCAGATATTATATAGATATTCCAAAAGAGCCTTTTTTTTTTTTTACCATTACATCCAGGAAGTAAAGCTTATAGTGTGTGTGTGTGTGTGTGTGTGTGTGTGTGCGCGCGCGCACATATATACATACACACGCACATGTATGTATTTATTCATCCATGCTGGGTTTGCACCCAAACCTAACCCACTGTGTACCTTACTGACATCTTTCTCCCAGGCAAAACTATGGACCTTGTTATAATCAGGACCAGGTGTCAGCCAGAGCTAATGAAGAGACATATTAGTAAGACCCCAAGACCAAGAAGTGGACAGAGGAAAGATAAATCTTTTTTAGAGGATGGCCCTGGTGGCTCTCTCCATTCTCCCTTTTGGTTGTTTGGCAGAGCTGGCTCACCAGGACTGTTGAATGGAAAAACAGCTCTCACTGATACCAGCTATGTTAATATACAAAATGCCTACTCCTCCAGGAGTTCCCTTTTTCTAACAAGACCATTGCCCTAAGCGGGAATCTCTCACTGTAACATGACTGACTAGATGTTCTCTATCCCCTCCCAAATTTTCTGTATGGCTATGTGAGGAGGAAGTCCCTCTCAGGAGTACTTCTTATGGAGAATTCAATGTGCTTTTCTACACAATAATGAAAGTTTAGGGGATATCGTACCCTTTACTGCTTCTTAGTTTGTGTGGTATACTCTATAAAATCTACCTTACACCTACAATTGGGGCCACTAGTAATATGTTTCTTGCATACCAGTTAACTGAAGAAATTATAAAGTCTCCTTTAGAGTTTTTAAAAAGGTAAATCTCCATTTGTAGTTTATTCTGGTAAAAATGGAAAGAGGCAAAATATTTTAAAAGGTTTTTATTTCATAATTAGATAATCTCTTTTCTTCATACATAATACCTTTCTTGATCACCAAATCTAAATTATCCTTCCCTGTGACTCTCTATCAGAGAGGGAGTTTTATTATCTTCATTTATTACTCTCTGAAGTTATCTTGTTCATGTACTTCCACTTGTTTACTGCCTGTATTTTCCACTATAATGTAAACATCACAAGAGAAGAGAGCTTATTTGTGTTATTTATCATTAAAAACCAATGTTCAAAAGAGTACCTGACATATGAAGTTGACAAAAATATTTGTTGAATGATTAAGTTTACTGACTAAATGAGTGAGTAAATTTGATGGCTAATCATATAATCAATGGAGGAAAAAATGGACACATATTAATACACTTCCTCTTTTGTATATATGTTTTTGTGCTTTATATACTTAATTAGTGTTGAGGGGGAGTTGTAAAAAAAATAAGGATTTAGAAAGAAGTAAGTTTGGAGACATAACTCTTAAAAATAAAACACTAAGAAATAGTTAATATTTTCATATCCAAAAAGTGTAAATTTCAATGCTATAAAACATTTGAGAAAAGGTAACACCACATATGATGTGAAATATAAATTGTTAACATCTACTGTGTTGATTAAATATTTGCCACTAACTCATTCCCTAAGCCAAAATAAATTGCTCAATGTTGTAAAGCGCAAAAAAAAATGTACTTTATTGTAATCAGTACCATGTGTCTGTTCAGGTGGGATCTCCTTACTTCGCTCCCATCCATTCTCTGAAGGCTTGGGAGACTTTTCCAAAGTATTTCAGAAATTCTATTAGGATCTATTAGGATCAAAATGAAGTTTGATGAATAATATTATGTCATGTGCTCAATAGTTTGAATTTTATTATATTTAGCAATATTCAACCTACAGCTGTTAAGGGAAAACTATAAAACCTATCAAGCTAAAGCAATCTATTTCATGTCCTATCTCCCATTTTCTCTCAGTTTAAACTAACAGCAACAACAACAAAAACGTACTGATCTTTGCGTGGCACACTCTGTAGATTCTAAACACACTTGTCTTTGCTCCAACTGTTCAGTCCACACATAACACCTTTTCTTCAAATTTCCCTGTTAAAATCCAACCCAGCTATCTTTCTTAAATTAAATGCTGTTATTCTCAATCCAGCCAGAAACAACTTTTCCTTCTTTTTTGGTGCATCCTCTTGGTAACTTTTTATTGAATGCATCTCCGCATTAAATGTACTTATTTATGTACATGTCTTGTCAGCCTTAGTAGAACATTAATGCATTGAGGGCAAAGATGTTACAGCTGTCATCTTTGTACTATATACATATACATAATATCTAGTACAGTGCCTTGCACAGCATGGACACTCAGTGCATATTTCCCTGTTTGAACAAAATTGAATGGAAATGATCTTTCTCCTGAAGTTAGGGAACACTGCATGAATTAACATTAATGGGGGAAAAGCCATTTAAGAATAAATTTTTGATATTCATTCTATGAACTTTTTCTGTTCTTGATGTCTTGTCCTATCGTCCTTAGGCTACTATTCTCCATGCAACCCTTCTTTTATCCTCCCACTTCTCATTACTCTTAATTGTGACTTATTGACCAAGTAGAGTGGAGACTGGCCAGAGTAATAACTCACAGCAATGCTATCATAGCCCTTCTTCAAGATTTTTCCAAAAGCTCATAGGAAGTAGAGATTTTATTTAAAATACTTTCGTTTAAGCCAGTATTTCTACATTCTGAGATTCACCAAATGTACAGTCTATCAAATTCAATAACAGCAACTAAACATTCAATACTTAAAAAAAAAACTTATATGAAAAGTTATCGCTTCATCTTCTTCAGGGTGACAAATTATTAGCTTTCCAACATTTTCACATAGAAAAACTATAGTAGTATGCCATGCTCTACCAAATCTTAACATGAATATAAAAGTATCATGCTTTGTTTCTATTTCTACATCTCATAAGCTGGTTAAATTCCAATTAAAGTTGAAGATAATCATTAATACTTTTTCCTATACTTTCTCAAATATTCATAATACTGACCATGTGTAATCATAATGACAATAACTCTACCCATAATAAGTTTACAGAGCAACAAATAAATATGTATAATCTTCTCCTGAGAGATCAAAAAAAATACACTTAAAATTTAGTCACTTCAGACATTAAACTGGACCATTTCAAAACTTCTGGCCATTAATCATTAAATTTATTACCTAATTCTTGCTAATTCATCTGGGTCTGTAAGCTAGAAATAGTAAAAATAGTAATGAAGCAAAGAAATGCACACTACTACATAATACTTTCCTCTTTTCTGTGTGGCAGTCAAGGCCAAAATTAATAATTCAAGTCAATGACTGAAAAGAAATATTGACATAGTTTATTCTCATTGAATAGCTACCTAACTTTTGAAAGAATTTGCTGTTTCACTAATCTATCTGGTTCAGGATTTCTGTTTCTTGACTTATTTGTGAATAGGTCTATGAATCATAATATGTTAATCAAACAGACTCACTAGTGAAAACTATAAGATTTAATTGGATACACCAACCAACTATTATTTATGTGCATGCAAAAAATGAGTGATTAAGCAAAAATAAAATGAAAAACAAATTTTTAAGTGAGTTGTTTTATGTACAGAGGTCAAGACTCTGAATGAGGTAAGTAATCACACTCATAAGTGTTTTCCCCAAGATAAAAAAAAAATGTTTTTAAGCAAAAAACATTTTTAAAACCAGGGTCATGTTCAGTTTCTCATGAAAATTTAATTGTTTTTGGAGCAGGGGGAGAGAAGGGAAAATGGCTTTGTATATCAGATCTGGTCCTTCGTGTAAATTTTTCACTTAAAAGTTTTTACTTTTACAGTATCTGAAATTGTCAACCTTTGACAACATCTAAAGTTTTAAACATTAGTTTCAAAGAGTACAATATTGTAAGCAAAGATATAAATTAAGGAGTTTTATGATACTATATTTAGAATGGCTATATTGCCATGCAGGCATATAAACTGATAAAGATTAGATAAAGAATATTTTTAAATGTTTTACCTTTTGTCAGTTGGGCTTCCATTTGTGACAACTGAGATCTGTGATAAAAAATACTCAATTTAAATACACTAAATATGCACATCAAATACTTACATTAAATTATTCAGAAAAATACCATTCAAAGCAAGTTTTAAAATATGACACTTTGTAAGATTAAAGTGTCCAAACGCTAAGAAATTATCATAGTTGGCATTGGAAAAGATATTGTAGAAGATGAACTAGTACCAAAATTATATTTCTAAATGAAAGCAGAGGGCTTTGCATTTATAGTAAATAAAAACTATTTTAAACATATCCATTACATAACTAAATTACATCACATAATTGTTCAATCTTTTAAATATTCTTTTTGAAGCATTTATACTTCAAATGCCAATAGTATACTAATGTGGTGATAATAACACATAGTATAGTAATATAATAGTGCTTTTTGATAATTTAAAATTTTTGTAGGGGCACCAGAGTGGCTCAGTTGGTTAAGCAATCAACTCTTGGTTTTGGCTCAAGTCCTGATCTCACAGTACATTCCTGAAATGAAGCCCTGCGTTGGGCTCTGTGCTGACAGCACGGAGCCTGCTCTCTCTTCCTCTCTTTCTCTGTCCCACCCCCACCTCCTTAACATAAATGAATAAACTTTAAAAAAGTAAATAATTTGGGGGTGGCTGGGTGGCTTAGTCGGTTAAGCGTCCGACTTTCGCTTAGGTCATGATCTCACGGTTCGTGGGTTTGAGCCCCGCGTCAGGCTCTGTGCTGACTGCCAGCTCAGAGCCTGGAGCCTGTTTCAGTCTGTGACTCCCTCTCTCTCTGACCCTCCCCTGCTCACGCTGTCTCTCTCTCTGTCTCCTAGAAATAAATAAACATTTAAAAAAAAAAAAGTAAATAATTTGTAAACGTATATTGAGAATCCATGCTCAAAATATGCTTATTGAGGTGTTTGATCAAAACTGTAGGAATCTAGTGACCTTAAGAGTGTGATTTTATTAATAGCTTACCTCTTGGAAAGATAACATGTTTTCCTATAGCATAATGCTGATGCTAGATTTTATCCCAGGCCAGAATGTTACCTAACATTTTTTTCTTTCATACAGAGATTAGCTAGCTTTATCCTTACTCACCTGTGGCAAAGACTTCTGGTGTTCAACAAACTAATTTTTTTTTCTTAAGGCACATTACTAGTCTACATATCTAAATTCCTTCTGCAGTTAAATGTGGTAAATTAATTATGAGAGAAAATGATGCGTACCCCTTCTAGCCTGATCAATGAAAAGACTCATATCTGGTCTTCATTTTCTTTTCTAGTAGCTGGATGTCTATACCCAATATGGCCCACGAAGCCAATGTAAAATGGCAAAAACCCATATGCCAGAATACCTGAATGAACTGATAGAGCAGGACTTCCTAACACAAACACACACTCTGAACTTCCTGGAAGTATTTACACGAGGAAATAAGTTTCTATTGCATGTAAGCCATTGCACATTTTGGGCCCATATGTGACAAGAGTAATACACTGCCATGGTTTTTTTTTTTTTTTTTTTCATTTTTTTCTTTCATAATTAATTGTCAAGTTGGTTTCCATATAACACCCAGTGCACCATGGGTTTTAATATGGCTTATGTAGATAACTAGACAGAACTACATGATAATAAAGCCTAACATTCACATAGTGCTTCACGATATACAAAAGCATTTCATAAACATTATCTTATTTTCCTCTAACATTTTTATAAAGTATTATCATCCTCCATTAACTAAGAGTTTTATAGAAAAATGTTTAGCTCCTGATACATAGAAATGATAATAGGTCTTACTTTAACCTCTACCTTACAAAAGAGTACTACTCTAATTAGCAGCTTTAAAATTAGGTATGAAAACAAAGAGGAACTACTTCCTAAGTATGTCATTAAGATGTAAATATGACCTTTTATGTAATGTAATCTAATGGTCAGTAGTAGAAGTTCTGAATATTTTTCTTTCACTCTTTTAGATTTTAAGTTTCTGTCACTAGTGGCACAGAGTGATAAGCCGGCTTCCCTATGAAGCCAGGCCCAAGAGCATTGGGAACATGCCATCTCACTTGTGAAAACCCTCTCTTGATATTAGCAAGTATCACAGCTCCGCAGCCAAACAAAGCACTGTAATACCTAAGAGACCTATATAAGCAAAATAAGTGAAATATATTTATAGTTATAATATAAAGGTAAGACCTTAGACATTATAAGATCAATATAAATGAAGACTCCATCTGCCTCGCTGATGCACAATTATTTTTTAAATACAGATCTTACATATTTCTCCTTTACCCAAGTACTTTCAGCAGTTCTTCCTTTTCTGAAAATTGAAGACTAAACTGCTTATTTAGCATTCAACTTATACCACAGTTTACTTATAGGCAGTCTCTAAATGGTCCTCCGTGATCTCTGTTTCATGGTATTCATGCCTGTTATATTATCCTCCCTTGTGTCTGGGCTGGCCCTGGGGACTACTTCTACTTCTAATGGCAAAAGTGACAGGATATCACTTCTGAGATTGATTCTACCTCCCTCCTTCTCTGCCACTTTCCCTCTCTCTCCACTTCTGCCATCGCTTCAATGTTGTAAGGAGTCTTAAAGAGAGACCTCCATGGCAAAGAACTACATCTCCAGCAACATCCTGCATATATCTGAAGCCTAGCAATAGTTACTTGAGGCCAGAAGAACATCCCCTCTTGTTAGGTCCTGAGACAAATGCAGCCAAGGCCAACACTGACAAAGATTCTTTTTTTTAATAGTTTATTGTCAAGTTGGTTTCCATATAACACCCAGTGCTCATCCCCACAAGTGCCTTCCTCCATGCCCATCACCGCCCTTCCACCCCCCCACCTCCATCAGCCCTCGGTTTGTTCTCAGCATCAAAGATTCTTTTAAAATCTGATTTTACCACTTTACTGCCACCTCTTATTTTTCTTTGACAGTTATAGTGCCATGACTCAGGATTAGATTCATCACTGGTCTCCCAGAACACTCATCCGGGTCCCCAATATTTGCACATTTTTGAAGCTTTTGTCTGCACTCCTGACTGACTGATTGGGAATAAATTGGTGAGTCCAACTCCTAAACCATTGTTCTATGCAAATGTCCACTGAAGCTTATAGGGACAGATTTTGATTCTTAAGATTCTGAGTATACTCCAGAATCTGGTTACTGTCCCAGATAAAGAGGCTGGATTAGAGTTCCTAGTTTCTAGTCTCTGTAAGTAACAGAAGCTATGTTTAAGTCCCAAGTTTTCTGTTTAAGTATAGAGGTGCCATTTAAAGTTTATTTATTTAAAAAATTTTTTTAGAGAGAGAGCACACATGGGCACACCAGTTGGGAAGGGGAGGAGAGAGAGGGGAGAGAGAGAATCTCGAGCAGGTTCCACAATCTGTCAGCACAGAGCCTGATGCAGAGCTCGATCTCACAAACCATGAGACCATCACCTAAGTTGTTTTTCCCTCTCTCATTTCCTAAAATTCATCTGGTTAAAAAAATGAATGAGGAACAAAAAGTACTATGTTATCATTTGGTGTATAATAAATTACTCTAAAACTTAGTGGCTTAGACAACAAACATGTATTATTTCATAGTATCTGTGAGTCAGAAATCGAGAAATAAGGCTTAGCCGGGTCCTCTGGTCCATCATCTCTCATAAAGATGCAATTAAAGTGTTGTCAAAGAAAAATCAGAGCTGGACAATAGAGTGATAAAAACAGATTTTATAAAAAGCCATTGCAATAGGAAAAAATAGACCTCAGTATAGAACTGTGTTCAATTACTAATATACTATGGAAAAGTAGAAATTTATAGCCAAATAGTAGGTTGGTAGTCAATGGAGAATTATTAAGAGGAAACATCAGGGGTAAGGGAGATTCAGGCTAAACTGAAGGATCTTTGTTGAAGATAGGCCAGAGTAATCCGATATCACCTGGTGAATAGTGAAAGCAAAGAACAAATTATGCAAAATCATGAAGGTGACAGAAAACATAGTATTTCCATTAGCTTAAGGAAGTTCAGTGTTGCTGAAGCATAAATATACCTTTATATGTAGGTGTGCTTATGAAGTTATGTGCAATGGGCTGGGGGGCTAATGAAAAAATGAGGCTGGCATCTCAGGAAAGGCCAGATTTGACAGAGTCTTAATCCAATAATTAGAAATTTGTATTCCAATATAAGAACAATAAGAACCATTAAAGATTTTAGGCAAGAAGGTTAAAATGAACAGATTTCAATTTGAAAGATTACTAGATATCAACATGGAGATTGGACTAAAGACAGTAAATTCTAGAGAAGGGGACAGCAGTTAGAATCTTGGTGGCAGCCTGGGAATGGTCAGTAAAACTGGAAAAAAATGAACAGAATTTAATTGGTATTAATTGGACTGAAAAAAAAAACCCAGAAAAGACAAAAATGATTCCCAAGATTCTAGTTTCAGCAATCAGGTGTATGAAGATGCCAAGAAACTGTAACTACTAGGAGAAGCACTCTAAGAGGAAAACATGTTAGGACATGATGAATCCTAGGTGCTATGGACTATTACAGTAGATAAATTCAGTATGCTGATGGATAATAGGTGGAGAAATTAGGTGATATCTTGATTAGAGATCCAAGATTTATGTGGCACTTGAAGTCATAAAGGTGTATAAGCATGCTCAGAAAGAATATGTGGAATAAAGAGAATCTCAGAGAAACACTAACAGTTAAAGAATGGACAGTATGAAAGGAGACTAAAACACAGTACCAGAAAAACACAAAGAAAACCAAATAATTATGCTGCCTCTAAAACAAAATCCAAACTATGTTAAAAAGAAATAAACAGTCAAACATATCAAATGGAGCTAAGAGAATGAGATAAAACTATAAAGATCGTTTAGCATAAGATCAAGTAGATTTGTTATAATCTTGACAAAAATAGTTTTAATATAGTGGTTGGGAAAAAAGTAAGGTTATAGTTAAAGAATTACTATAAGATCGCGGAAACAGTGAGTATGAACAATTTCAATGCCATCAAAATCTTCAGTAAGGATTCCCCGTTTCATTATTACCAGAGCCAGACAATCTGAATAAATGATATTATATATGGCATCCATTCAAAGAACCTAGTATATAGTAGATATTTAATAGTGAGTGTTAAACTGAACACAAAAGAAGAGAGGTGTGTGTTAATCTATGTATAAAACCGCTAAAAATAAAAGTCACTTTCCCATGTTAAATGTAATGAAGTTACTTGGTAAAATGCTTAGGTAATAAAGGTGCTCTTTCAAATGCATCTTTGTATTTAATCTAACACTTTCTATATATAACTTGTTGCATAGGGCAGCCTTCATTTTGAATTTAGGGGAAAAATCTTGAGATTTTAACAAAGGTGAGAGTTCAAATGCAGCCACACAGACAAGCAAAGAAGATATCCTGTCAATGATTTTGGAGCCAGAAAGATCTGGGTTTGAAGTCTACTCAATATTACTCTGTTGTTACATAGCTAATGTTTTAAGTTTCAGTTTCTTCTTCAAAATGGAGGTGTTAATAGTTATACTACAGTGATGTGTAAATGACTAGCACATATATATAAAATGACAGGAGATAGATAAAATATATATCATATAATGATAGAAGATATATAAGATGACTAGCACATTTTTAATTGTGCTCCCGCGTTTTGTCTTAAACTTTTCACAGAAACCTACATTTCTAAAATATTTGCTTTTATATTCAATCCAGGGTAAAAAAATAAAAATAAAAATAAAGACAAAACCTAATAACCTTAATAATTTGTCTCTCACTAAGAGCAATTTATTTAATTTTTTATCTTTTCAAGAAGAAACTGAAGTAATTTACAATTAAAGTTGTATACAATGTTAAATAGGTGATGGGGATTAAGTGTACTTATGATAAAGACCAGCTGTTACATGCAAATATTGAATCACAAAATTGTACACTTGAAACTAATATGATACTATATGGTAACTGACTGGAATTTAAGTAAAAACTTAAAGAAGTGATATACAAAAACAGATTAGAATAAAGATAAAACACTCTGATGAGAGTTTCCTTAAAAAGCTGGAGTATTAGGCCTTTAATTTTACCTTATTTATTAATTTCCTATTTGCTAGTTTCACTATGCTATCTCTAATACACATTATAACTCGCATTCTGAAAAAAAGAAGGAAGAACACTAAAGAATATGAAATACTACTAAGAAATGAGAGACCTGGCAGTAGCTATACTGCTAGAACAAGGACAAGCAAAACTGTATTCCCTACAACTTTGCTTTATTTCTTGAACTCTTTCCATTATTTATCAATAAAGTTGCTTCTGTGTTGACTGTTTTTCTCTTCTAAAACATGAATCTATTCTGATCTATTATATTAATAAAACTATTAGTCTATTATGAATCTACTACACAACAGAAACAAACATAAATTCTTCTTCAAGAGTTTTTTCCCCACAGATAATAGCTATACTTGCAGTGAGCAAAGCATAACAAATATACTTAACAAATCTGTTGTATACATGAAACTAATATACCATTATGTGTCAACTGTGCTTCAGTAAAAAGATAAATTTGAAGAGAGCTTTTTCCTCATAGTTTTACATTTATATTTAATTTTATTAACTTACAGCAAATTCTCTTTAGTCTATGAACTATTTTTTCTGGCTCTCAAATCTCAAGTGTTTAAATGATCATTCAAAACCAATATATATCTAATGTATAAATCTGTATTCAAGATAGTAACTTGTGATAACCAATGTAAAATGCAACAAGTCCAAGCAATAAAAAAAATAAAAAACAGGGCATAGAATTTTTGTAAATAATATATACAAATGGAGTAAGCAACAATATAAAAGACAAACTTCTTATAGCACATATTACTGTTTTTCTCTCTTATACTGTTTTCTCTATTTTGGTTTATCCTTACCTGCGAATGTTCTTGGATTTTTGCATTTGTCTTTTGTCTACCTGAATCTGTAACTAGTGATTTCCTTGTTTCTTTCTCCAATAGTGTCTGTTTTGAATCTTCAACTTTTATTTTGCTAATATCCATTTCCATCATTGTCTTGTTCTTCCCTTCATTTTTAAGTAATTCTTTCCTTTGGTTTAGGAAATAGTCAAGTTGATTCTTAAATCTTTCAGCTTCCTGTTTGTAAAATAGTAACCATTTATCAAGCATTATTTGTGACATTTTTCTGTCAATATTACAACTTTCAATAATCTGAATATATTCATGTCCACATTACTTTTCAACTTTAAATTTTTTTAATGTTTTTATTTATTTCTGAGAGAGGGCAAGAGAGCGAAGAGAGAGATAGAGAGAGAGAGAGAGAGAGAGAGATACAGTATGAGCAGGGGAGGGTCAGAGAGAAAGGGAGACAGAATCCGAAGCAGGCTCCAGCCTCTGAGCTAGCTGTCAGCACAGAGCCCCACACAGGGCTCAAACCCACAAACTGTGAGATCATGACCTGAGCCAAATCGGATGCTTAACTGATTGAGTCATCCAGACACACCTCAACTTTATTTTTACTCAATTGGAGGAGGCTAAATTAAACCATGGTTATAATCCATAGTTTAATCCATAATTAAAATTAAAAACTGTGAAAAGTATCTTCCACTTTGAGGACTGTTTTTATATCTCAGGAAGATCCCCTATTTTTTTTAAAGCTCTAATTATTATTGAAGCATAATACAACAATAAAAGGCATACATTTATAAAAGGTGATAGAATGTAACCAGGATAATTACTATCTATAATATCAAATAATAAAAGAAAGCGTGGAAAATTATTTCTTCTATAATTTTTAAAAATTTTTAAATTTAAAATTTTAATTTTTAAAAATTTATTTCTTCTAGAATTTTTATTTTTTCTAGAATTTTTCTTTAAAATGCCACTTTTAATAATTTTTTAGTTACTTAGATCAAAAAAAATTAAGTTCACAAATATCTCACCATAAACAGGGGTGGCTGGGTGGCTCAGTCAGTTAAGCGTTCCGACTTCAGCTCAGCTCACTATCACACGGCTCCTGAGTTCAAGCCTCACATCGGGCTCTGTGCTGACAACTCAGAGCCAGGAGCCTGCTTTGGATTCTGTGCCTCCCTCTCTCTCTGACCACCCCCCTGCTCACACTGTCTCTCTCTCTTCCACTCAGAAATAAATACTTTTTTAAATCTCACCATAAACAGAAAACTTACTGTTAACTTTAATATATATCTTTTCCCATTATTTCTAAATATAACTAGTACATATATGTATTTTAAAATTTTTATCTATACTGGATTCTACTATACCTACACAATATGCTCTTTTTATTAAATGTTATAGATATGTTTCAATGATAATAAATATACATCTAAATAAGAATAGCTAATGAAAGTACATTTAACAGTATACTTTTACTTAACAATATTTTTTATGAGTGGACATATTGGTAAATTTTTGCTATTAAATTTTTTTATATTATACATATACAAAAATCACTGTACACTCTTTTCTTCTTTGTGATAAATTTTTATAAGTGCAATGATTCAATGAAAGGCCTATGTCATCCCCAAACTTTTTTTTTTTTTTTTTTGAGAGAGAGATAAATACAGCATGAGCAGGGGAGGGTCACAGAGAGAGAGGGAGACACAGAATCTGAAGCAGGCTCGAGGGTCTGAGCTAGCTGTCAGCAAAGAGCCCGATGCGGGGCTCAAACCCACGAACTGTGAGATCATGACCTGAGCTGAAGTCAGACGCTTAACTGACTGAGCCACCCAGGTGCCCCCCAAACTTTTGATGCATATTTTCTTACAGAAAAGTATTAATTCATAATAATAGAATAAAGTAGAAGATTACTCATTTTAATTACTCATCCACAAATACTAGAAATGTCTGTTCCTAAGATTTTTACTGAAATGGTAATAAAAAAATTTCTATCCCACTGTTATTTTAAATTTCATTTATTTGATAACTAGTGAGGTTGAATATATTCATATGCATTTACTGCCTTTATGTGTTTCTAAATTACAACCTGCCTGTTTGTGTCCTTTGTCTACTTGGGGGAAGGGCTACTTATATTTCTTATAGATTTGTAAAAGATCTTCATATAAAACATTTTCTAAAGAATTGCATTTATCTTTACACATTTTTTACCATATAAAAGTTTTAAGTTTATAACAGCCAAATATACGAACATATTCCTTTGTTAGTAACATAATGCTTAGAAAACCTTGCTCTAGCCAAGACCATATACCTGCTACCCAGTATTTCTTCTAAGATCTTCTTACATCATTTATTAATTTTGGATCTTAAATCTATCTGCAATTTATTTTGGTGTATCTTATGATTACACGAGAATCATATTTTCATAGTGGTTTACTTTTTCTGACTATTTTATCTTTGTATAAAAACAATTTCAGGGGCACCTGGGTAGCTCAGTCATGATCCTTGTGTCATGGGATCAAGCCCTGCATTGGACTCCTCACTCAGCATGGAGCCTGCTTGGGATTCTGTCTCTCTCTTCCTCTGCCTCTCTGCCCCACACACACACTCTCTCTCTCTCTCAAACTTAAAAAAAATTCAATAACTAAAACTATAAAATAATAAATTATTACATTCATTTGAATCTGTTTCTGGGTTTTTCATTCAGTACCAAATCTGAACTACATTGCCTTAGTTATTATAGTATTACATTACATACTATTCTTTAACAACCAAATTCTTATTCTTCTTTCACATAATTACCAGCTTTGTTTCTCAATATATTCTATAATAATTCTGCTAAGCTAAAAAATAATTTCACTTATATCTAGAAATAAATTGATTTAAATCTATATATCACTTTAGAAAAAATGGAAAATTGAAATATTTATAATATTGAGCCTTCAAGACTAAAATACAAATTCTATTTCTTCACTGTTCATCTATGTCCCTCAGTATATTTTTCTTCATATAAAACGCTGTGCGTTTTTTGTTAAATATGCTGTTCTAATATTATAAATAGAATTATCTCTAATATGAATACTATATGGTTGTTCTGGATAAAAAGGAAACCTACTGCTTTTTTTCTTTTGCTTTCTTTAGATTTTAATTCCAGAGTAGTTAATATACAGTATTATAATAGTTTCAGGAGTACAAAATGATGATTCAGCAGTTCCATATATTACTCAGTGCTCTTCCAGATTAGTGTACGCTTGATCCCTTTCAACTATTTCACCCATCCTCCCACCCACCTCTTTCTGGTAACCATCTATTTGTTCTCTATACTTAAGAGCCTGTTTCTTGGTTTGTCTCCATTTTTGTTGTTGTTGTTTGTTCATTTTGTCTCTTAAATTCCACATGTGACTGAAATCATATGGTAACTGTCTTTCTCTGACTTATTTTACTTAGCGTCATACTCTATAGCTCTATCTATGCTGTTGCAAATGGCAAGATTTCATTCTTTTTTTATGGCTGGTTAATATTGCGTTATGTATATACATATATATGTGTATGTATATGTGTGTGTGTGTTATATAACATCTTCTTTATCCATTAATCTATTGATAGACATTTGGGGTGCTTTCATAGTTTGGCTATTGTAAATAATGCTGTAGTAAATAAACATAGAGGTTCATATGTCCATCCCTTTGAATTAAGGTTTTCTCAAATTTAATGTTTTTGAATTTTGGGGGTAAAATACCCAGTGTACTAGGTCACAGAGTAGTTGAGTAGTTCTATTTTTAATATTTTGTGGAACCACCATACTGTCTTCCACAGTGGCTGTACAAATTTGCATTCCCACCTATAGTGCACACGGATTCCTTTTTCTATACATCCTCACCAACACTTGATGTGTCTTGAGGGCTTGATTTTAGCCATTCTGACAGGGGTGAGGTGATAGCCCATTGTGATTTTGATTTGCACTTCCATGATGATGAGAAATGTTGAGTATGTTTTCATGTGTCTGTGAGCAATCTAGAAGTTCTCTTTTGAGAAGTTTCTGTTCATATCTTCTGCCCATATTTTAATTGAATTATGTGTTTTTGAGTGTTGAGCTGTATCAGTTCTTCATATATTTTGGATACTAACCCTTTATCAGATATGTCATTTGCAAATATCTTCTCTCATTCAGCAGGAAGTCTCTTATGTTTGTTGGTTGTTTCTTCAATGCACAAAAGCTTTTTATTCTGATGTAGTCCCAATAGCCTATTTTTGCCTTATTTCCCTTGCCACAGGGACATAAAAAAACACCTCTAGAAACATGTTGCTATGGCAGATGTCAGAGAAATTACTGCCTCTGCACTCTCTTCTGGGATTTTTATGATGTCGGGTCTCACATTTAAATCTTTAATCCATTTTGAATTTACGTTTGTATATGCTGTGAAAAAGTGGTCCAGTTTAATTCTTTTGCATGTAGCTGTCCAGTTTTCTCAACACTATTTCTTGAAGAAACTTTTCCCCATCGCATATTCTTTCTGTCTTTTTCAACATTTAACTGATAATTGTGGATTTATATCTGGGTTTTCTATTCTGTGCCATTGTTCAAAGTGTCTATTTTTGTGCCAATTACTATAACACTGAAATATAACTTGATGTCTGGAACCGTGATATCTCCAGTTTTGTTTTTCTCTTTCAAGATTTCTTTGGCCATTCAGTGTCTTTTGTGGTTCCCTACAAATAAGGTTGCTGTAACTCTATGAAAATGCTGTTGATATATTGATAGAGATTGCATTAAATCTGTATATTGCTTTGGGTAGGACTGAAATTTCAAAAATATTTATTCTTCCAACCCATGAGCATGGAATAGTCTTTCCATGTCTTTGTGTCATCATCAATTTCTTTCATCAATGTTTTATATTTTTCACTGCACAAGTCTTTCCCTTCTTTGGTTAAGTTTATTCCTAGGTATTTTATTACTTTGGGTGCAATTCTAAATAGGATTATTTTCTCAATAGTTTTTTCTGCTTCATTACTGGTAGATAGAAATGCAACAGAATTTCTGTACATTACTTTTGTATCCTGTGACTTTACTGAATGCATTTATCAGTTCTAGCAGGTGGAATCTTCCAGGTTTTCAATATATAGTACCACGTCATTTGCAAACAGTGAAGCTTTTACTTCTTCCTTGACAATTTGGATGCCTTTTATTTTTTTTGTCCTCTGATTGCTGTGGCTAGGACTTC